CCTGCCATAATTTGAAATCATCGCGCATCAGTCAGCGCACATCTCGAAACTGTTAAAATCAGGAATCATCTTGCCCTCTTTGAGGGTAAAATTGGTGCGACTTGTTGACGAACGTCCCTTGGATGCATCTCCCTCTGGCAACCCCTCCCTTTTCCAGCCGCCTCCAAGGAATTCCCTTGAGGATTCCTGCTAGACAACCCCTCCCTTCGCCAGCCTCCAAGGATTATCTGAGGATGCACCCATGCAAGCTTGAGCCACCCCCAGGCAAGCGTCGGACATGAGTCAGCCTCCAAAATACTCAGTCACGACACTCTGGCAGGAGGAAGTGCTGTGACGCCCAACCTCATGCCCGGCGCGACTTCCTGATCGGAGTAGGATGTGGGCCTGGAAGTGCGACAAGGGGTGTGCCAAGGATTTTTGGGAAAGTGGGGTTGGAGTCCCAGGTCAGAACTGAGATCTCCTGTGGCAAAGTTTCAGAGGCATAGACGCAATAGGGCTGAGGGCGAGTTCCTTCCGGTCTGTTGGCGTTCTATGTCGTGCAGCCTAAGGCAGATGGCACGCGCGGTGCGTTCAAGGCCGTCCGATCCGTCTGTTTTGGGAGCGGCGGTTCGGGAAGAGGTCTGCCTGGGATGGCTGTGGTTCTGATGAGTCGGGTCCTTCGGGGCAGTCATGTGGCGTCTGCCGTCGCGCGTTTGGGTTAGGCCTCCTGTCTTCAGGGGCTCATCGGTTGCCGCGTTGCCGACAATTTTTGCAGGGCGCGCGGGGCCAGTACTCGGCGATGGAATTCCACGGGACAACTGTGAGCTGGTGATATGGGAGAAGGAGGCGGAAGGGAGGGAAGTTGGTAGCGATAACGACGAAGCGGGGGGATATGAAGTAGTGCGAGTTATCCGAAGTGGGAAAATCGGGACACCTCGGATCGCTGGTCGTAGCACAGTGAAACTCTCTACGGCACAATCGATTCTCGGTTAGGCAGGGGAACTCCGGGCATCTCTGTCTGAGACACTCTCTCACCCAACGGTCGAAATACTCCGGATCCCACGACAAATTCTTGAGTACGTCATCATGTCATCACGATGTGATGGAATTCTTCCGCACGCATCTAACTGGCAAGGGGGATTTTCCGATGTGATATCGGAACTCCATTCCGTTTAGGTGCTTGGGGGAAGAATTCTTCCTGCCTACCCGATATCGAAGGTGTCAAATCCGTCGGTGGTTACGAACCGGCGCACGTGGATACATGTAGGCTGCACAAATCAGATCGCGCTTACACGCATCCCCGCGAGGTATTCGCTTATTTCTGGACAAACAACTACCCAATAATCACTTTGTGATCCCACGCACAATCGTTCTTGAGCGTGCAAGGTGCTACATCGGCATCGCAGCAACAATAGTGGCTAAGGAAAAAAAAAGGGGATAAACAGCAATGGAAGCAGTATTGATGAGTATGCAAAAATTCCTACTATGCTCATGAGTGTATCGAAACGACAAGCAAATGCAAGGATATGACATTCATCCATTCATTCGACGAAACACGCAACAAACGAAATCGAGATCAATCGCAAAAAAATGAGTGTGGGATGAAACCAAGCGAAGATTCCGAAAACAAAAAAAAAATGGGCGAATCGCCTTGAGCCGACATCAAAATTTATATACAAAAGCAAGGAGGGGGAGAAAATAAAGAAAACTCCAAATCCACGTCGATCAACCTCAGCTCCCTCTTCCTCTCTCTCTCTCTCCGATGCGGACAGTCCGTCGTCGCGCACCAACCCACGAAGTCGTCACCCCGCTTAGTCCTCCCTCACCCGTCAGGTTCGCTCGCGCCCACATTCCGTCGTGGCCCGCGTCAACCCCGCGCGTTCGGCACCATCTCGTCGACTCCCACTTCAACTCACCTCTTACTTCGCTCGTGAGCCGACCCTCACTGATCGCGCTACCCCGAGCTTCCAACAGCTGGTTAAGAGAGCTATCTAATCGCGCAGCCGGAATTTATAGTGTGCATGCATGCGCGAAGAACACGGAATTGCAAGGACGTAGAAAGGAGATTAGGAGAGGGAGCTTCTGCATTCTGCATGGCCAGATCGCGGTGTGGGGGACGTAGCCACTCTCCACGCATCGGTCCGAGCATGCAGGCCGCGGGCTAACTAGGCACAGCGAAAGGAGGAAAAGGGAGAGCGGGAAAGACGAAGTTCAAGAAGAAAGATACAGTTACAATGGCGCCCGCCCAAAATTATGGTTACACACACGATTAAGGGCGCCGACTAATCAGAGTTCCGTTGCAATCCCAAAAAGGAGCGCGCAAGCAAAAAGCGTCGCTCGACAAAAGAAAATCGTAATTGCAAAATTCCTAAATTCCTATCTAATGCAGAAAAACGGAAAGCACAATTTTCGAAAAGAAAGTCCGAAATCTTGAGAGCCATCGGGGCTCGACAAGATTCAAAAAGAACGAAGCAAAAATTCCCGCGCGGTCTCCGCGCCTAAAATTCGACAACAACACAGAAAAGAAGCGGCGTCAACCCTTATTAATCGCGCCTGGTCGTCGCGACAACCACTCAATCAATCATCTTGGGGCTTACCCGGCCCTGAATCCAGCCATGACGAAAGAGAAAACATGAAAAGACAAAAAAGGCGAGGACACTGATGCAATTCTCCCTCCATCCCGATCTATCATAATTGGCCCAACCTTCCCAAATTAGGACCCCTCATTGTGATTGCGCAGAAAGTCGCACAGAGTAGAAATCAGTTCGTCACATATGTGACGCCCAGGGGGTTCCAATCTTAAGCAAGCTCCTGCTTGCTTGAATCTTGACACGTGTCGATCTCTCTAATCGATCGACATGCGGAGCTTTTCGTCGCCACTTACCGTGTGAAGGAGTGTGGACGTCATCCAATGTGGCTTACGGGCTCTGTCCTACAAATTCCTCAGGAGGGCTCTCGTCAATCCAAGGAGGGGATTATTCTTGCTGTCGCAGTGGCACGCACACCAATCAACCGATCATCAATGTCCACCGGGGAGGGGGAAGGGGAGACGATACATGGGGGCATGGCGAGGGGGAGGATTAATCGGGACTCGGGAGCGGGGGTAAGAAACTTTCCATCCTCGCCACCGTTTCTGGAAGCTCCTGATATCGGACGATCCGGTGGAAACGGGGGAAGTGATTACCACTGTGGGGTAGGGAGGCAAGGTAGTCGGGATACAAAGTAGCGAAGGTTCGGAAGAGTGCCGCGTGGAAATGGCCGTAGTTCTCGCATGTGGGGATAGTCCCCGTAACCATGCAATAAACTTCGACAATATTGTGGCCTCGCCACACGTCACTAAGGAGAAGGGAGTGAAGGCAAAAGTCGGGGAGAGCGCATCGGGTCGAGGGATGGGGGTGAACAGTAACAACGAGGCGAGTAGCGTAGAAGAATCAGAAGCTATGTATCTTTATAACGCAGAACGGGGGAATTAAACTCCCGTTGAATCCCGTTAAACTCCAAAAAATCCCGTTGAATTCACGTAAAATGCGAAAATGGGCTGCTCCCGCGCTTTTCGAAAAACCGGAATTGATGAGCAGGGTCCGGAACACGTGGCCCTAGGCAAAAAAAAATAAAAAAAAATCCCCCCAACCCCTGAAGCACCTCCCATCTGCCCCCACATCCCCCAACCCCCAACCCCCAACGCCCCAGTTATGTGTGTGTAGGTGTGTTGTGTGTGCGCGTATCTGTGTATGTGTGTGCCTGCCTTGAGAGTATGTCTGTGCATGAATATGAATGTATGCGCGTGTGTTTGTGTATGTGTGTGTTTGTAAGTGTGTGTGTGTGTGTCTGTGTATGTGTGTGTTTGTGAGTGTGTGTGTGTATGTGTGTGTTTGTAAGTGTGTGT